AATTCTCTAACTGCACCAGGTGGGATGGTGGGACTACCACACAACTCTGAAGAGTCGGTGCAGATTGTGCTCTGGCTAGATATGTCTCCTGGTATTGTGGCAGAGACGGCATCGGTTGGAATTAATTTTTTTTTTTTTTTATCGCACTCGTCAAGATTCAGGATGAATGGCAACCTAGGTCCCTTTCTTCTTTTAGAAGAGTGTCGTCCGTAACGTCGTGGATGCAGGTAAGCTTTTAATTTTGCTCCCCCATGAAAATCAAATTATTTTTATTAAAATTTTGTATTTCAAAATATAGTCCACGGACACAAGTAGTAGTTCATCAACGGCGGCAGATCCGACAAAAGGCAAAGCAAAAAAGAAAAAAATAAAAGCAAGTAGCACTAACGGCAACGCCTCGATCGAATCAAGTTTCGCTTCAAAACTCAATAAACCCTTGGAGGAAAGTGCCAAGGATTCGACTAAGAGCAAGGAAGTTCCAGAACCAAGTAAAAAGGGTAAGAGTAAAACGAAGCAAAACTCGGATCAGAATGATGCCAAGTCCAATAGTCACGAAAGCTCAAGCAACAATGTAAAAACTGTAGCCAATGGAGCCGCTACTGCTGCTCCTGTCTCGATCCAGCGTAAACTCTCCGAACTCAAAATCGAGAACCTAAACAAGACCAACAATACTAACCACAGCAGCGATGAAATGTAATCTCAGCTACTTATGTTTCAGTAATCGGATTAATATTTTTGAGCCCGTAATGATATAACTTGTTTTCAGTGCCGAAGTAAAAACTGCCAATAAACTCGAAAGCAGAGCCAAGGATTTTCCAGTTTTGGGACGTACGCCAAACAGACCTCCTGGCTTGCCAAGCCCACCGCCAGGCTTTGCAGCTCCTATTGTAACAAATCCACCGCCTGGTTTCCAGAATCGATCAAACGGGCTCACGTTCACTAATAGTTCCAGCGAAAGCTACGCCATTGTACCTGACAAGCAGAAGCATCAGTCGTATACTTATCTCGCGCCACCCGGTTTCCAGAGGCGAAATCAAAACCTGATTGCTCAGTTCAATTATTGTTTTGGGTGTGATGAGAGTGAGGAGCTCAAGGCTTTCCGAAACCTGAGCGGACTCTACCGCACGGGAGCTTGCGATGCCGAGGAGTACTACAAGTATGTTTTGTCCAAAAAAAAGCGACAAATTACAATTTTGCGAGAAAAGTTTGTGTTTATGATATGTACGTGTTTAACAGGCGATGTCGCAACGTAATGGGAACAAGCGCTTTCAACCGAATTTTCCCGGAGCTGTTGTCTCTCCTCCCGGACATTAAAAAGCAACGTGAGCTGTTCGAGGTTCACAAGCGTGAGTTGGGGGCAGGTTCAACCAATAAGATAAGCGGCCTCGTTGATTGCGCCAATTGTGGTCAGATATTGCGCAGCTCGGACCTCCATGATCACGCTTCTAGTCACACACTCGAGAATCACTTTCCAATTCTGAGTAACACTGGACCACTTATTAACTCTTGGCGCAGGAAGTAAGGCTGAAGGGTTGTCTCAAATGTCTGGGAAGCTTAATCACAACTGCCCGTCATCTTCGTTCCGCTGCGACTGGTGGCTACGCGTATCGCGAATCCGATGACTTGTAATAAGAAAATGAACTTGAAAATCTTTGGTTCTTTTTTTTCTGCTGACATTTATTTTTGTTAAAAATTCTTTCGATTTGTTATTTACGTATTTTGATTAGTTTAACTCTTGATTGTTAAAAAGCCAAAACAATTTTTTAATCTTTTTACTCAAAAATATTTAGTGCCTTAGTGAAAATGAAGTGACGAAGTGAAAAAGTACTCTTACAGTAAGGTTGAATTTTTCTATTGCAAGCTATCATTATGAGTCATTGAATCGGTAACCGGGTACTGTAGAAACTCGTAGAAATTTGCAGCTTGTAATGAAACATTTACCATTTTATATTGTATGCAGCAATACGATTTTTTTTTCTTTTTGAATTCACACGACATGATATTTTTTTCTTGATTTTTATAGTTTTTAAGATTGAGGGAACATGATTCTTGTTAGTACAAGGGCTGTACCTTGAAGAACATGTGTTCATTTTTTTATTTAAAATTTTCAAAAGCAACATCTACACTTTATGAATACTTGGTAAAATTTAGTTAATATTTATTCAATTATGCTTCACAGTAAAAACTCGAGAGAATATTTTTTTACGTTTAAGCCTGCATTTGCGAAGTTTTGAGTAATGCTTGCATTGGCAATTTTTAAAATTATTTTAAAATTAGTCCATAAAAATTTTTAGAATCGTCAAGTTTGTTCGTCTTATTTAGCTGTGAAACCATTAAATTTATTTCAAGATATTGCATATTATTTGATTTTAGTGTGGAGAATTTAAAGAAATTTATTTCTGACACATTCATAAATATATGCATATATTACGCCATCACTCTTTTATAAAACGGAACATCAAAAATGTCAATCGTTGTACGACAATGAAATTACGTCAGGTATTTCAGAGTTTTCTGAATTTATTATTGTAAATAATATGATTAAAAACATGTATGAGATGAGATTTGTTAATGTTAAAAGTGTATGCATGTGTGTATAAAGTAATGCTTATAGACAGTTACACTTGTAGTTAGTATACTATGTCTGATTCCTACATATTGCTAGACTAACGTATTCAAAGAATATACAGGTTAAATAATTAAATTATGTTTGTATTAATTAATAGCAGAGCCTAAGATATTCTTTAGGTGAGACTAAATGGTTTTGTACATTTGTTTTGTGGGTAAAATCATGAAAAAAAAAGAAATCAAATAAGATTGGTTATTTTATTAAATTTGTATTTATTTGTTGTGCATATAAATGAATCAGAAAGATTAAAAAAAAACATAATTCTACATATTTGCACATTAACGAGATTTTTACTTTCAATACAACAATACAGTTCTTACTCTTTTAATAATTCAAACGAGTTTTGCTTAGTTTGGTTTTTTATTGTCTTAAAATAATTTCACTATAGCCTAAAAAATACAATTAAAAATATGAAAAAAAGTTACGTTATTTTATATAATTTTGCGGACATTTTTGGATCAATCAATCATCAAAGAATCAAGATTGCTCCATTTGTTTAGATTAAAGTGATTAACAGAAACAATATAGGAATAACTTCATTGACCAGTAGATGGTGAAAAAGCTTATAAAACGTGGAAAAGTTTAATTTTCAAGTGATCCCTCTCTTTTTTTTATGTTTTCTTTATAAAAAAGAACTTGAAATTCATTAGGTGTTGATTCTTTTATCAAAAAAGAGTGTCTCTATTCTCCCTTTGAAAATCTTCAAGATGACATACACACGCATCACAATTAAAGAGGTAGACTTTGCAGCAGAGCCTCATCACTTTTTGGCAAGTTCGTTGCTCAGCCACTCAAGACCTTCGTACAATCCCTCTCCCTTAGTGGCACAGGTATTCTGAATAAACCAACGACGACCTCTCAACGAGTTTAAGCCTAGTTTTTCTGTAAGCTCGGCCGCCACCATAGCATTGGGAAGGTCCTGCTTGTTGGCAAAGACGAGTATTACCGCATCCCTCAATTCATCTTCTTTCAACATGTTAGCAAGCTCACGCTCAGCTTCCCCTATACGCTCACGATCATTACTATCAACAACAAAGATAAGACCTTGAGTGTTTTGGAAGTAGTGCCTCCAAAGGGGTCTGATTTTATCTTGACCGCCCACATCCCACACAGTGAAACAGATATTCTTGTACTCAACGGTCTCGACGTTGAAACCAATTGTGGGTATTGTCGTAACGATTTCTCCAAGTTTCAGCTTATACAAAATTGTCGTCTTACCAGCAGCATCGAGACCTACCATCAAAATACGTACTTGCTTTTTGCCAAATATTTTTGTGAAAATACTACTGATTGTCAGACCCATTGTGCTTCTCTTTTATCTTTGACTCTGAAAAAAAATTTATTTTACTCAACAAGAGTTTTGACTTTTATTCAACTTGATAGTACATAAGATTGATCATAATTTTGAGGGATGACATAAGAAAATAATGTTGAACCAATGATGTACTTTTATCTCTTGATCAAAGTGTTGATTTATTCCAACATATGGCTGATAGAAACGGTTTTGTCAGAATAACTTTAAACTCGTATACAGGAAAACGCTGGTTAAAACTGTTATTAGAGTGCAGCTATAGCTCGTCTAACATATGCAAATGAGCTACATTGTGTTGGTTAAAAGTAATCAATTCTGTCATAATTGTCAGTACTTAATAATTGAAACTAACATGTGCCAATAAAACACGGAATACATAAAATTAATATAAAGTATATATACATCCAAACAGATTCCTAAAAGACGACTGTAGTAGCATTGTACAAAACGTCAATCTCTTAGCAACTATTTAGTAACCTACAAACAGCGTCGATTTAGATCCACGAGGAGAGGGCCACACACGCAAAAGTAAAAGAGATAAAAATTATCAGTACCTAATACTTGAATGGGTAAACGTTCCTGCCAACAACGTAAAATGCCTCCTCCTGATACGTATAACCTACAAAATATTACTCAACGGCACGGTGTAAAACTATTAGCTGCAGTGACGCTGCTCCGAAAAAAAGGTACACGTCAAACATTAAAAATAAAACAGCTCAACCCACGTCATGTAAACTCGCTTGAATCGTACTTAGATTTAGAATACAAATAAGCAGAGTAACTTCGATACGCTCCGAGTTATATGTGTAATCAGTGAAAGTATAAATGTATAAAAAAGAGCTGAATGGCTCACCTTTGACGTGGTTGACGTGTGATGATACCTCTAGAAACGGAGCGCCTCTCCTCTTTTATCGGCTGCTCTTCACGCACTCGGAGTGAAGCCGCCTCGGGAAAAACGCAACTGCAGCAGGGCAATTGCAGCGGAGAGCAGCTCCTCGAGGATACTTACTCTCCTATCTCTTATTCCCTCTTTTCTTTCCTACAGAAACCCCTATATAGGTTTATATATTTATGCGTCGTCCGCCGCGTTGCCCTGCCTATATGTTGCTTTTTAATGACGAGGACGAGAGAGAGAAAACAACGGCTAATACAAAGCCTTGGTGGTAAATTCTCTTGCGCCCGTCAACCCGGTCAACCGAGAATGCGAGAATGAGCTGCCCAAACTCAAACCCCGAATGCATTACTACTTAGGACTCAGAGCGGGAACTTATAAATAACTTAAATAATTATTTTTTATTATGTATTTATTTATTTATTTATTTTTTTTCATTGTAAATAAAGCAACAGATACAATTATTGAAAACATCTTTTCATTTGTTAGTTTGATTAAGTTAGACAAAAGTTCAGTCTACAACATTAACCATGCTATTATATATATTTCAGCTTAGAAGTGGCATTTGGCCTTTTTTTTTTTTTTTTTTTTTTTTTGAGTTCATTTTAATGTCACTTACTTAGCTCAGTGAAAAGTCATTTTCTACTTCTCTTTTGCGTAAAGAACCGAATCTGTCTATTAAATTCATCATATCAGAACTTAACTTGTGCCGAGCTTTCTCTAATACCTATTGTAGCTGCTAGTGCCTGTTTAAATCAACCACTGGAGCTATTCCTACTGAATTATCTACGTAATTTAATATCATTTTTACCTGTATGTGCGTGGAAAAAAAAAATATATCAATAAGTCGCGTTTTAGTTTAAGACTCTTCGGGTCCATTAGCCGGGAAATAGTAAAATTCCTGCTGGTCCACTGAGCTTTCCCGATATTTCCGCTTTTTATTTTCTAGAGGAGGTCGGATTATGATTTCCACTTGAACGCACTCCATTTGTGTTTCGAATGTTTATCAATACCGTGCACATCAAGTGAACATTAATGGATAAACAAAAGTTTTGCAATTCTCGGAAAAGCCGAAACAACGAGTTGCACGTTTTGTATTTTTGGATAATTTATGCGGGGGAAAATCTCTCCAAGCTCATGGGGTAAGACAGGAGAGAGAGTGGAAAATCGCGGTCATGTTATTGCGTTTGCGTTATTGCGTTGCGTGACAGTGTTTGATGAGGCCCTTTAAATCTTTTAATGTCAAAAATTGGAATTTTATATAAAATACTTATTTTACATTAAAATCAACTCATTTGTCATCATCGAATCAATACATTAATTTAGAGTCTAATTGATCCTTAATGTAAAGGAGCATATGATGACAATGCGTACCAGCCCATGCGTTGTCCGAGGCATACATATAAACAGTGCAAGTGCATGAGTGATCAAGTGATAAGCCGATTTTAAGAGATTCGCGCGCTTTTTTGTCATGTCTCTACGTGTAAATACAGACGAATATCGGAATATGTTGCTGATCTTCCTGGGCTAGCTAACAAAGTCAAAGTCCCATTACTTCGGAGGAAAATGTAAAACTAATATTTTAAGTGTTAGTCAAGGGCAGTGGATATTCAGGCCCCTCCGTTTCGTGTCCGTGTAGAAAAATGTTCGAGATTACGAAGAAAAAGACCACTTCCGTCATCTTCCGTACAGATAATTTATCTAGCATGTAAAGGCCTGTTTCCGTTTCTGCCCGTGACAATACGGAACAAAAAGTCGAGTTCCGTAGGAGTACGTAAGTGCTCGCCAAACAATAATAATCCCGTAAAGTACCGTATGCCACGGGCTGTCCGTCAAGGTACGGGAAATAAATCAATCCCGTTAATTACCGAATGCTCATAGCTGTCCGTCAAGGTACGGGGGATAAATAAATCCCGTAAATTACCGTTTTCTCGTAGCTGTCCGTCAAGGTACGGGAAATAAATCAATCCCGTTAATTACCGAATGCTCATAGCTGTCCGTCAAGGTACGGGGGATAAATAAATCCCGTAAATTACCGTTTTCTCGTAGCTGTCCGTCAAGGTACGGGAAATAAATCAATCCCGTTAATTACCGAATGCTCATAGCTGTCCGTCAAGGTACGGGGGATAAATAAATCCCGTAAATTACCGTTTTCTCGTAGCTGTCCGTCAAGGTACGGGAAATAAATCAATCCCGTTAATTACCGAATGCTCATAGCTGTCCGTCAAGGTACGGGGGATAAATAAATCCCGTAAATTACCGTTTTCTCGTAGCTGTCCGTCAAGGTACGGGAAATAAATCAATCCCGTTAATTACCGAATGCTCATAGCTGTCCGTCAAGGTACGGGGGATAAATAAATCCCGTAAATTACCGTTTTCTCGTAGCTGTCCGTCAAGGTACGGAAAATAAATCAATCCCGTTAATTACCATATGCCCGTGGCTGTCCGTCAAGGTACGGGCGATTAATAAATTCCATAAATTACCGTATGCTCGTAGCTGTCCGTCAAGGTACGGGGGATGAATAAATCCCGTAAATTACCGTTTGCTCGTAGCTGTCCGTCAAGGTACGGAATATAAATCAATCCCGTAAATTACCGTATGCCCGTGGCTGTCCGTCAAGGTACGGGGTATAGATTAATCCCGTAAATTACCGTATGCTCGTAGCTGTCCGTCAAGGTACGGGGAATGAATAAATCCCGTAAATTACTGTTAGCCCGTGGCTGTCCGTCAAAGTACGGGAGATAAATTAATCCCGTTAATTACCGTATGCTCGTAGCTGTCCGTCAAGGAACCGAAAATAAATAAATTCTGTAAATTACTGTTAGCCCGTGGCTGTACGTCAAAGTACGGGGGATGAATAAATCCCATAAATTACTGTATGCCCGTGGCTATCCGTCAACGTACGGGAAATAACTAAATCGAGTAAATTACTGCTAGGCCGTGGCTCTCCGTCAAAGTACGGGGGATAAATAAATTTCGTAATTTACTGTTAGCCCGTGGCTGTCTGTCAAAGTACAGGAAATAAATCAATCCCGTAAATTACCGTATACTCGTAGCTGTACGTCAAAGTACGGGGGATGAATAAATCCCATAAATTACTGTATGCGGCGAATTTCGCCGTGACGTTCCGCTGGTTATTTCCTCCCCATGTAACCGCGGACTTAGGCTGCGTTCAGACGCAACGTCAATAGGTATCTTTAAACCTTTTGAATGCACAGGTGCAAGAGAGAGGGCAAACGGAACCCGGGGATAAATATAACGATATAATTATATTAATCGCCCGTACCTTGACGGACAGCCACGGGCATAAGGTAATTTACGGGATTGATTTATTTCCCGTACCTTGACGGACAGCTACGAGCATACGGTAGTTTATGGGATTTATTTATCCTCCGTACCTTGATGGACAGCTACGAGCATACGGTAGTTTATGGGATTTATTTATCCTCCGTACCTTGATGGACAGCTACGAGCAAACGGTAATTTACGGGATTTATTCATCCCCCGTACCTTGACGGACAGCCACGGGCATACCGTACTTTACGGGATTATTATTGTTTGGCGAGCACTTACGTACTCCTACGGAACTCGACTTTTTGTTCCGTATTGTCACGGGCAGAAACGGAAACAGGCCTTTACATGCTAGATAAATTATCTGTACGGAAGATGACGGAAGTGGTCTTTTTCTTCGTAATCTCGAACATTTTTGTACACTGCCACGAAACCGAGGTGTCTGAATATCCACTGCCGAATTTGCCTTGAAACAAAATTAGATTCATTTTCCAGATGGGTATCACAGGTCTTATTCCATTTTTGGAGAAATCGTCAAAACAAACTAATATTTCTGAGTTTTCCGGTAAAACTGTGGCTGTAGACACGTATTGCTGGTTGCACAAAGGAGCTTTTTCTTGTGCTGATAAATTAGTTATGGGCCTGGAAACAGATGCGTTGGTTTTTATTAAATTTTTCTTTTTGGTTCCAATTTTCTAACCAATGTTACATTTATAAAATTCGTTTTACAGATATGTAAAGTACTGCATGAAATTTGTGCAAATGTTACTTAGCAATAAGATAAAACCTATATTAGTATTTGACGGGAGGCATCTTCCTGCTAAAGCTGAAACTGAAGTGAAAAGAAGAGAGTAAGTTGGATTTTGTAATCAAGTCAAATAAAAATAATAATAACCATAACTAAAAATTTTCCATAAAAAAGGGCTAGAGATAATAATCGAAAGCGAGCAGCTGAGTTTATAAAAATGGGCAAAATAAGTGAAGGAAAAAATCTTCTGAGAAGATCCTTGGATGTCAGCCACAAGATGGCCTTGGAAGTTATTAAAGAGTGTCAAGCACACAATGTTGATTGCATTGTTGCCCCTTATGAAGCAGATGCACAGCTTGCTTACCTCAATTTGTGTGGAATCGCTGACGTTGTAATTACTGAAGACAGCGATCTGACACTATTTGGCTGTAAAAAGGTAACGATTTTTATGTTTGTCTGTATTTAATCTATTAAAACTCCATTGCGCACTTAACATTTTCTTGTTAAAAATACCTTATAGATATTCTTCAAAATGGATTTAGCAGGCTATGGAGTCTTAGTGGAACAGGATCGCTTGCATTTATCAATGGGGTTGAGGCGAGATGAATTTAGTATGGATAAATTTATATACATGTGTATACTCTCTGGCTGTGATTATTTAGCTTCGTTACCAGGCATTGGATTACAAAAGGCTTGCAAGTTTATTGTAAAAACTACGGATACGAATATTTACAATGTAAGTATTAATTAAAACATACTGGAAATTCCTTTTTAATTCAATTAATTTTCTCTAGGCGCTGACGCGAATGGCTTCGACGTTAAATAAAAAAACGCTGGTTGTAACAAAAGATTATCGTGACAATTTTATGCGTGCCTTAGTGACTTTCAAACATCAACTGGTTTTCTGTCCGATTCAGCGTAAACAAGTACGTCTGAATCCTCCAACTCCTGATGTAACTGCAGAACAACTTGTGCATGCTGGTTCTGAAATCGATGCTCATTTGGCCTGGCAATTAGCTCTTGGCAATTGTGATCCATTTACCTACGAAAAGCTCCATGACTTTGATCCCGATAAAGTAAGTGCAATTTCAAAGTAAATCAAATTCAGGTGACAGATTTTTTTTACAAGGAATTTTTATAATTACAGCATTTGCCAGTGAAGAAAAATGCGTGGAGCGAAATTCCTATAGCTAAACATGTTAGTATGTGGTCGAAAGATTACAAAGCAAAAACAGATCAGAACAAAAATCCAACGCTTAGTCCAAAGAAAGTGAAGCCACTATTAGCCATAAGAACCATTAGTGCTAGAGGTCAAATTGCAACCATGAAGACTGACTCTTTGAAAAGAGAAATAACACCGAAAAAGCGCACACGTGAAGGTAAAGTATTTTATATCGTTTCTTGGTGCATGTCAGACAAGTTATTAATATCAAAGTTGATTACGTTGAAACTGGTTTATTTCAAAAATATTGTTATAACACAAATTTTTCTTCATTTAAATTATTTCTGCGTACTACATTTCTAACATGTACAAAGTATTGGGATACAGTTGTTTAATTACTTCAAGACATTTAACCACTATCCACACGAATACTAAACTAACATTTGTGGTTTAATTTCACTTAATATTAAAATTGGTTTGCCTTAAAATGATCTGAGAAATGATTGTGCTATATATTTACTGAGATTTCATATTTTAATGGATTTAACAAATAAAATAATTCACAATCTAGTAGCAGTTCGCAACTTTGCATTTAATGAATTTGAAAAAAAAAAAAATCTTTAACGTGTGATTTTAATATCATTTTTTCATTAATAGTTCATGTATTGTTATTAACTTTTGAAAGTTTGTATTTTGATTTTGGATATTGTGTCAAATGCGTAATGACTTTTTTTTGGCATGCATGAATTTGATCAGTAAAATTTGCTCTCAAATAAACACTAACATACAAAAAAAGGAAATAAAAAAATAACTTACTACAGCCAAGTAGTACTTTAATATCTACAACACACTTTTAAAAAAATTCTGTATAAAACAAAAGGTAGAAAATCGCAAGAGACAATTACAATATCTCAAGCGTTGAGAATTTTGTTGAGTGTATTGATAGTTAAATAAGTTACAGTATGAATGATGTTGATATGAATATTAGAATGATGTTGAGTGCATAGAAAAGATAAAATCTAAGTAGTACTTTTCAATCATTGAGATTTCTAAACAAGTACTATTGTTTTGCTGGTTTATATTTATATTTAGTATTAATTTATTACAACTAATAGTTACATTGTTCAGACCCCAAAACTATTATTGAAGTATTGTTCTTTCACAGTCTTTTTTTACCGGATTAAATGTTGGTCAAATCTCATGATTTCTTCACTAATGGTAAAGATGTGTCTGTTATTTAGAAAGTTTTTTGACAGTATAAAAAATTATAATGATCAATTTTAAAAATACTTTATTCGGTAAAAAATGTAACTAGCATGAGTGAAAGTGTTAATATAATTTATGGGTGTTTGAAATTTTTTACAATAACTCCATGGTGAAAAAAAAAAAACATTAATTAATAGATACATTAATTTACCAATAAGTTAACCACGCAAAATACCTTCTTATTCGCGTTTGAAATAGTTTTGACCTATAGGAATAATCTGAGGCTCTCCATTTATAAATTTAATTGTCATTGTTGGATTTTGTTTGTCAACATTGATTTTTTCGAGTTCTTCCTTGAGATCCTTGATTTTTTTTTGTTGTAACTTGGTCAAATCCGTTTTTATTGTATATTGACGATTAACCAAAGACTTGCTCTTCATAATTGTAATACAGTCAGCCTTATCTAACAGAGTGACTCGAAGTGGTCTACAAAAATTTTGTCTCATACGTCCCAGGCGTCTCGTTTGTATTTGGCTCAAATCAACATTCGATACGACCTTCAGAATTTCACGTGCTCGCGATGTGTCTCTAGCAGCTACCAAAGCATTGAATTGATCAATATCATGCAAAGTGGAGTAATCTTGAGATATTCTAAGATTATCCTCGGGAACATTGTAGATGATAATGTTTTTCGACTTCATCTCTCTTTCCTTGATCTCACAGAGAATTTCTCCCATGTCGACATTCTTGGCAGTCTGAGAAGCCTTAATATTTTCCAATTCGCCTGTTATCCGAACTAATTCGTCCTTCAGTCCACCCACGTCATTCTGCACATTCTCGAAATTGGTAGTTTTGTTCTTGATGGTTTGCAGAGTTGTTTCCAGGTCGTTGATGCGAGGATCGAAAGTATTCAGATGATTCGACACAGTATCCAAGGAATTGGAAATATTGGAAATGCTCGATTGCAAAGATGAAATGCCATCCCAGACCGTTTCCAATGTAATGCTGTTTTTCATTTGAGATTCGTTAACACTAATATTCGAGGTTTGAACGGTACTCTCATTTGGCTCATCTGCATCCAAAATGGTTATTGAATCATTGGAATGGCCTTCGGCTTCGTTGGTATCAAAGTTGTCTTCTGTGAAATCTTCTTCGTTGCTTATCTGTAATCGAGACATATCGATGTGAAAAGTCATGACGGTTAATTGCTGAAAAAAAAAAAAAAAAAAAAAAAAAAAAAAACTAGAAAAAGGTGATATACCTCTAGACAGTTACTGGGCTCGTCCAGAATAACAGGTTTCTCCAACACGACCATGTTCGAGGAGGATTCGTCGACTTTCTGCACCTTCGCGAATCGCATAGGTCCACCAGTGCTCTGTCCGAGAGCCTGGCTATTGTCTAAGCTACTGTTACCGTTGCCGAACGAATTATTGTTATTCTGTTGTGGTTGTTGTTGTTGTTGCTGCTGCTGAGGCTGCCTGCGCTTGTTGTTGCGACGAGTTCGCATCTGGTACCCTGCACTACTACCCGGGAACACAGAGTCCGTTGGTCCGCAGCAAACGTTAAAGACACCCTCGGCGGAGATTTTGTAACGATGCGAGCACGACAGGTGAAAGGGTGTTCCGCACTTGCTACAACGAATCGTCCCGGACGATATGTTCCGTCCACAGGAGCGACAGGAAACCATAACCTACTAAATCGTCTAGTGCGCCGTTCCCGTTGCGTCACCCGGGCCTTTTACACTTTTCTCATTCGCGTGGTCAATATCCCACTTCACTTTTTCTCTCTCTTTCTATTATCTTGAGAGTGCGCTTCTTTTCTTCCTGGCAACGTTAAATTTTTCCGATAATTTCCCGTTTTACGGACTCTTTCCTCTTGGTTTGTGAACAACGTACATGCATATGATACGAGAGACACATTCGGGAATCAGGCACAAACTTTCGCGAAATGTATTTTCGAAATGTCTTTCTCTTACACATCGGCCGCCATATTGTAATTATTGCTTTTATAATTGAGAATGCGCGCGCACCCTTCTCCTTCGCCCTTCGCTTCTCTCTTTCGCGCACGCACGCACCCTCCCTAGCAGGGTTGTACATTGTGGCATAATATCAGTCGCGAAATTCAAAAATGCCAAAAATGAATAGAATCAATGAAAAAAATTAATTGATTTCATTCACTGCTAAATGAAAACAAACAATATTAAAAAGAGTTACAATGTTAGAAATAATTTATTTGCTTAATTTTTGCAACCAAAAGTATATTTATACTTTTTTAGACGGAATCTTAGTTTTACGAAGTAAACAATTATAATTGGCAGTAATAGTAATACACGTTTAATCAATCATATATATATATATGAATATATTTTATAAACAACGAAATGGACAATTTTTAAGTTTAAACATTTGTAATTATCAAACTTAAGTTGTAAAATAGCAGATGAAGGTGATTACTGTATCATAAGAATACCTTGCTACAAGGTAATACAGAGTGTACCGACGGTGTTTAGAGTATTAAGGTTGAATTCCAATGACGAAAACGTAATCAGCTATAAAGTTACATGAAAAACCGACTGGCATCTAGCATTATTTTGTAAATCGCTAATGGATGTCGCTTACTAGTCTGTGAATGTAGGGTTTTTGTCCTACTATATATGTGTGTCGTCGTGGGAGAAGGTGCTGGAATGAGCAGAGAGACCTTGTGTATGAGTTTGTGCTTCATTTACTGTTATTACATGTGCGGCTCGGACTCGAGCTCAGCAAGGACTGAATCACTGAAGTCGTCAGTAAGCGGTTACACCGCACGACTAGTATAGAGTGGGGGTAAGCCCCTACAGTACTCCCCTCAAGTTTGAACGTATAGTTAAAACTTACAAAAGGTCTGCTTGTACCAATATATTTGATGATTAAACGAACTTCAGGTGAAGTTCAATCATAATTACACGAAGAACTTGTTCGAGGATATTGAATGTATGTAGTACCCCATTTCATCGCCAGATGACGCCACAGTTCGGAGACAAAAAAGAATTTTTTTTTTTTGCAGCGCGCCTCGCACGCTCCCGTCATCTACTCCTGAACTCATTTATTTAAAAGCTTTCCAGGTTAGGGGTGGGTATACGCAATTTTTGTGGGGATAAAAATTCAAAGGGGAGGAAATTATATCCTCGAACAAGTCCTTCGTATAATTATGATTGAACTTCACCTGAAGTTCGTTTAATCATCAATTATACATCAGTTCCTTGTTCGAGGATATTGAATGTATGTAGATGTTTAGAGTAACGATTAATCTTTATTAGGTTGATCAGGTACATACAAATTGTACATTATAGAAACACTAATCACATTTATCTTAACTTCTAAGGTTTGATTGATTATTGTTTTTGATGTAGATCCTTCGAGACCTTTTCCAGTGATTTGGTCTTCTCCACCAACCCTTTGACATCGTCACCAAACAGCCACTCCGTAGACTCCACTGCTTTGAGGGCCTTTTGCATCTTTTCATCCAAGCCACCGGTCGCGTAAACCTTCCTAGCCGTGTTGATTTGAAAGAACAAATCTGCTGACAACTTAATAGCGTTTGACAAGTTTCCTAATAAAGTCGATCTTTCTGCCGAGGCTTGTAGTCCCTCTTTAACCAAAGAATAAGCTGCGATCGATGACGATAGCGCGGCTGCTGCTTCTCTTTGGTGTGTCCGAAAGTGACCATCCCTTGATGCCACTTTAGCAAGGCCGGAAGCTATTTCTTTGTTTAACTCAGGCGGCTCTATATTAATGCTGCCTTTTATCGGAACATTCTGGAGAATTTTCTCTCTTTCCTCCTTTGTTAAGCCTTCCTTAGTCCATTTCTTCACCCGCGCGACCACTCCTTCGTCCCAAAGTGTCTCAACTAGTGGCGGTTTGGATGGATCGGCGCCTAAGAAAAGACCATTTACATCTTCTTCTTCCTCTTCTTCTTCGTCCCCTTGGTCCTCTCCGTGTGCCTCTCGCTCGCCCTCGCTTCTATCAGCCTGTTTGTCCAAGGCAAGGATATCTGTGAAAGATGGAATCGGCTTATGATATTGAAAGTGATTCCCACCTTTCTTATAAATGTTATCATGTATTAAAGACCCAATGGTCTTAAGCCTTGCTGTCCACTACTAAATAATGTGGTTCAGCCGGCGTAACATAGGCTGACAGCCCTGTATAAATACGAAAATTTTCGTATCCTTCTTCAACCACGCTTTAGCACGTGTCGCCGCCCTGTGCTATCCGCCCGGAATCAAGATGGCGGCAAGGACCTGAAACAAAACGAAAAGTAGGAAAGGAAGTTATTCGTACCCTGTATATTTAACTCCTCGTCTTGATTTTCAACTTCTTGGAGAGTGAACATCTCGTTAGTCAAGGCATCCAACTTCTCCTGAAGTTGAACACGCTTGTTCTCCAAGGTTTGAAGTTTGTCCATACCGAACGTGTAACGTCACCGGACGCCAAAAAAGGAATGAGTTCAGGAGTAGATGACGGGAGCGTGCGAGGCGCGCTGCAAAAAAAAAAAAAAAAAAATTCTTTTTTGTCTTCGAACTGTGGCGTCATCGGCGATGAAATGGGGTACTACACACATTCAATATCCTCGAACAAGGAACTGATGTATAATTACAATTTTTAAACGTGTACAAACAAAATTTTACGAGGGAAAATACATTGCATGTCGCAGACAAATGGATTTTAATAACATATCTGATCGGTCTTACAACTCTTTAGATTATTTTTAAAACAAACAGTTTCTTATTAATACATTAACTGAACACTTTTAATATCAGCTTGCACTGCGGCACACACATCAGTCACAAAACAATGTCAATTTAATAATACAAAAATTATTGAGCGCTGCTACTATTTTTTACAAAAATACATACAAACATTAGGAAAAAAAAAACAAAATAATGAACAACAGCGCCTCCCTTATAGAGGTAATATATCGAGCTTTCGTAACAACGCTTAAAGTAATTAGGCTCGAATTATAAGCTTGCCATTGGTTTACGTGCGTGTCAATATTTTATTGTATAACCAAAACCATAAAAGGGAATTACAACGCTTAGCCATAACAATAAAATCTGTTATAATTGGGTTATACGGACATCAGTCTTTTATACAATATAAAAATTGGACTAGAAATAAAGCTATCACATTAATTTGGCTAAAAATTGTGCACAAACATTAAAAACTAACTTATCAGATGTCAACAAATTATCTTAAAATGACACAGCGCTCCGAACCATATGAATAAAATTCAAGACAAGACACAATTTATGTTCTAAATAATACTGATAATTAACCTATGGTCCTTGTGACGCCACTCAATTAAATGCACATAAGTAACGCAATATACACTCGCTGGTCTTGAACATGCGAGGGCGGCAAGGAGGCATGGCGGCAACATGGTCGATGTTACTTCACACAGCACGTGGCTTCTAAAATGGCCAATGTTGCGATGACCAGCACGTGGCTCCAAAAAAAACAGGTGTGGGTCTCGGGACCCCCGACAGATGTGAAACATCAAAGAATACGTTATTGAACTCGGTTGTATTATTTATTCATATTAATTTTCTATAAGACGTTGAGCTCATCACCCCTATGCAGTACATGATTTCTTAATTTTTCACTTGAGAGTAAAAAATCGGGCACAGACATAAAAAATATAAGGTAGAAATGTGAGTATGTAAGAAGAAGAGTGTATAAATAAAAATAAGCAGCATAAATTTAAAAAATGGTTTTTGTTTATTTTTACTAATACATGGAAAAGTGTAGCAGTATAAAAATATACAGACTATTTATAATAAAGCACTTGCAACAATAACATTAAAAATGTACTTCGGAAAGACGTGCAAAATGCGATACTATGCTAAACGCTATTGTCACTTTCCAAGCGTGTAATACCCCAAAAGTTTTACGCGTGGAGAAAGAATAGCGACTGTACATTTAGCCCGCCTCAGTATTCGCTCCGAGCCGATGCAGAGGTTGCGCCCCCTCTAGCCAAAATCAGGCAAAATTTCTTGCATGTAAACAAACAGCTTAGAGCATATATACATGCGTACAGCTGCTTGTGATTGGCACTTGGCAAGCTAGAGAGAGAACGACGATCCTCTCCTGCTGTCTTATTCAGCCAATCACAAGCAGCTATACGTATGTATATATGTTCTAAACCGTTTGATTACATGCAAGACATTTTGCCTGATTTTGGCTAGAGGGGGTGCAACCTCTGCATCGGCTCGGAGCGAATAGGCCCCTAATACGACGACGACAACGACTGCTTGCATGCGGCGACGCGGCTCTGGCGTGGTGCGCTAAGTAGCTAGGAGTGGGGAGAGTGAGCCCGCTCTTGGGTCTGGAGCTGCTGCGTGTCGACGCGGTTCTTGCGTGGCGACGCAGCTCTGGTGGGGCGATGCTAGCTAGGAGTGGGGGGAGAGCCCGCTTACGAGCCTGGCGACGGCTCGCGTGGCTCGCTTTTACCCCCCAAGCGCCGCAATAGATGTTTCACATCAAAAATGGCCAACCCTTTGGCACGCAGCACGAGGCCAAGCACAAAATAAGGCCAAACGGCTGCCGAGGTGTCAACGACTCTGCCTAACATGTGCAGAAGGGCGAAGACAAAAACCTCGAAGACGAGCGCAGCGGAATTGCACCTGGCAAAGGCAAACCTGGAGGATGATGAAGGTGGAGCATGTGGCCGATGTACAGGCTCGAAATGGGCGCGCTTACAACAGCAACACACATCATACGGTCAACAATGCAGATCTTGGCGATGAAGGAAGGAGAAACAGCACCACGAGCACCAGCCAGGTCAGGCAACGAGGCATCGCATCAGGCGACGACGTCGTATCAATCGCCAATATGACCCACGTGGGGGCGAAATAAGCTCGGGCTTAGCTGATAAAGCGGTAGCAACAAAAGAAAAGGCTCACTGAGGTTTACACTTTCA